AAAATAAATAAAATATATTATAAACTATATAAATAAACTAATAAATATATAAAATATATAATAATAATATAAAATGAGTTTTATTTTATAGTGCTATAGCATCATAGTACTAGGGTGCTATAGTGCTATATTTTTTATTATATTTTATATTTTATATTTATACACTATATATATACAATAATATATATATGGGTGTGGTGACTTAGTGAAGTAGTCAAGTTGTCACACCCCCAAGCAATTAGTTGGCTAGGTAGGAGGTTCAAAACTCACTGGCGATGAATTTTGGAAATTCTACCTGTACAATAGCTACTGTCATCTGTCGATCGATAAAGATTATCAGTTAAAACAGGATCTCTGTAACCTTGGTGGTACCAACAAGATTGGGAGATCATGGGGTATTTGTGTGATGATAATGTTACATGAATAAGCCTACAAGTCGTGTTAATCCAAGAGACCAGAAATCGGATGATGGAACCCACTTGGCAAGTTCTGAGTAGAGAGGTAGCACAAATCTTCGATGGTGCGATATAAAGGATTATTACTAGAAGAACTGGCAAAAACTGAATAGGACCAAAGTGTTAGACAAGGCACTCCACCAACCAGGCCACCAGAAGAGTAACTGGAGGAAATAGGACCCAATCGTGAGGACCAGAGACAAGTCACAGCCCTTCTGAACCATCTGAATTAGTAGTTTAGGATAGTTAGAGATACCAGTAATAGTCTGTAAAGTATGTACTAGGGTTTGGGTGAACTCTACAAGGGCAGAAGTAGGTAATAGTAGCGGCCTCAGCTTGCAAGTACTTGTTCTCAGATTCGGTGTAAGTTACTGAAAGTCTAGGTTAGCCAGATTGTAGGTATGAAAAGCTCTAGCAAGTTTACCTCGAAGGTAAATCAGCTCTAGGTCAGGGTGCCTTCTATGGCAGGTATTGGTACCTCATAAGGATATGGCAGCACAGAGAGTTTAAATAGATAATCCTTTAGTTAGATTATAGATATAGTATTTAGTGTAAAACCTTAGGACAGACTACTTAAATAGACAATCAAAAGTTGTATATGTGGCTAGTTGTACTCTCTAAAACTATGTACCAAATGAGTAGCGGCTGGCTGTCCAGTTTAGCACATAAACTAATAAAAGGCAACCGATCATGAGGTCACTTTGATATTTAAAAAAAAAAAACAATAATATATATATATATTAAAAAAACTTAATAATAAATATCAATACAATTATACAGACAAATTTTGGTAATTGCTATAGATATATTTATGTGCTTGTAGATATAATAATGGATACAATAATATTGGCTTTACTAATATGAATATGCCAACTCTAACCCTAACTATAGCTATTATTGCGTCCATAAGTCACATGAATATCATATAACTTTAGCTATCATGATAATGATAATATTGTAACTATTCGCAAGACCTGTAATTTTCATATATCATATTATGTAGATCCAAATATATATTGTTATACATAAGTGTGAGGTTCATACTAAGTATGAAATCCCAACTCAAATCTAAACTTCTAAACTTTAATCGAAATAAAACTTAGAGACTATTCTAGCACCAAGACGATTTAAAAATTTATCCCTAATTCAATACTTTATCTAAAATAATCTTCATATTATTCTTGAGAACTTCTGGTAATAAATAATCTAGCGAAAGCCAATTCTAATAGCAATTTTTTTTTCAGGCTAGTAATACTAAAGTCCAAGAAATTATACTTACACAGTATATAAAATCATTTGATTTGCTTAAAATATTAATATAAATATGAGATACAAACAATTTGATATCTTAAATAACTACTCTAATCATAAAAACAATTGCTAGACAAATAACAGAAACAATTGAGTATATAGCAAATTTTGCACACTAAGAAAAATATAAAATCTGATTATAAGTTTATTCTAATTTTCTTGGTACTATTTATATGTATAATTATCAGCAGACTTAAAATAAACAGCTTTTAGTTATAGAAAAGTATTGTAATAACTATTCTTGCTTTCGAAAACAGGTTGCTCGATTATAATCAGCATTATCGCAAATTTTATAATGTAATTGACATTTTGTCTTTTTTGATAGTTTGCCTGCACGTCGTATTCTGCCTATCCCTTTTGGTCAACCTTTACCCTTACATTTATGAGGATTTATTAGCTCGCTTAGATTTAACTTTCTTTTTTCAGTTCTATTATGATTATTATCACTTTCATTACTCGAAGCTGTATTACCATCAGATGATAACTTATTACAATTATCTGTATACTTATCAAACATTGCAATAAAACTGTGATCATTTCTTCAAATAGCTATTATCAAGGCTGCTCTTGCTTTTCCCCATACTTTTTCATATAATTTACACTTATCTATCATTTTACAATTTATATTATGTCTATCTTGAACCTGAACTAGTGTATTAAAATAAGGAACTGGACCACTCCAACTCATTATTGGTTGTTCCATTTTGAATTTTTGTGTAACCAAAAATAGTTCATGGGCAGAATTGTTACTGGTTTTATTATCATTATACCATCGTGATCTTATTAACTGAATATGGAATGTTGTAGCCTCTAAATATAGCATTATTTGAAAAAATACCAACAAATAATTTTACGATTACAGTGCTCAAAACAAGAACATAAGTGAGTTCTATCATCCAGAAGTACTACAAAGTGCTGTATATCATTAGATATTATTAGTCGAACTCCCACATTTCTAAGATTTAATTATTATTAACAAGGCTAAGTATTAATTTGACAATAATATCAGTATAACTTGGGCTATTGTCAAATAAGGCAGGATCATCAAGATTAATTTAAATTTATATGTAATTACCAATATTTAAAGTAATATTAGGAATTATTAATGCAAGTTATGACTAATATAGAGGTCGTTATAGTTTTTAAATTGATTATAAATTGATCTGTAGGCTTTAGATAATCTTCTAATATAGTATGATCACATTCTTAATTACTTTAAAATATCATTGTAATTCATATTTATTTACTATTATGCCATGATAGTGAAATGCTTGTTTAATTTGATCCTCTTGAATTTTTAATATTTCTACTGTAAGATATTTCTGTAATATATTACAGACATTTGAAAGGATAGTATCGACCATTGCAACAAGAACAGTTTTAGGGATTGATACACAAAATAATGTCTATTCTGTCCTTTATCCTCTTCAAGAATGCATAGAGACAATTTTTCTGCAAGCTCTAACAGTGTTGTGTTCGAATTAAATATCAACTTTTTGATTTTAGAATTGTAACTTTTTACCTGAAAAGTCGATGATATTCCTGCAGTAAATAATTTAAGTACAAACACCTTTGCCTATGATTCTTTATTAATATAAAGTATTCATTGTAAGTAGTTAACTACATTTTCATTATTATATTTTTCGATTAGGCATTTTTATTTGTATTCGAAAATGGTTATAAAGCTACTCCGCTGTACTTCAAAAAAGTTCTTAATAAACTCATCATAATGGTCTTTAAGACTATTTTTCAAATTAAGTAGAATATTTTGAGCAATATGAAACATGCAATAAAGAGCATTGACTGTTGGAAACTCATCTCGTATTGTAGCAACCAGAGCAGGATCAGCATCAGTAAACATAATATGCAGAACATTCAAATATCGCCTTTTTGAATTGTTGTAATATCCAACAATATGCTCTTTTGTTTTATCATCCGTTAAGGCCTGAGCTACTAACTGAGAAGACAAATAATTGTCAACCACCAAAAAAAGGGATAGTGTTATCTTATAATGGTTGGTAGATGAAGTATTGTCATTTAAAATTATATCGCCAAACTTTAATCACCATTCAATTTGATTAGAGAACATATAGAATAATCAGCGAAGGTATTTGCTATCAGGATCCCAATCTACTTCAATATACTATCAAGGATCACTTTCTTTTTTCTTTAATAATGTATCATATAAACAACCTGCATCATTTGCACGGTTATGTGATTTGGGCTGAAATTGCCAAATTATCATGTATAATACTAGCATATAAATCTTCACGCAATACTTCTCTTCAAGGATCTTGCGAATTTGCTAAGGGCTGCAATTCATTTTAGTCACAAAAAACTTAACGTCTTTAACCATATCCATTGTAAACTTCAAGCTTTCCTGAAAATCATAATGCTTTCGATCAAGATTATGGTTCTTATGCTCATCAATTAATTTTGTAACGTATATGACTTTGTAAGGATTGTTTTTCTCTAGACATGAAAGATTTACTTGCTATATATACTCAATATGCTTGGAAGTTGTTCTTTCTCTGGATTCTTACTCTTTGTTGCCTTAGATTTACTATAGTGCTCACAAACTAATGTGCACCTTCAGATTGTTTCATTCGACTTTTCAATACAATAATAGCAAAATCTAAATCTTTGCCTCTTTATATACTTTTCAACTTCCTACATCACATGATCCCAATTAAGACATATCATATTTGTTTGCAATTCTACCCTCTGGATACCTTCACTAATTGTTTGATGCCAATTATTATATACCACCGTTGACTTGTGTTGAGTATCTTCAAAGTTCATCATATTGCTATTTTATATTTATTCTGATCAATTCTATATAAAAAATCGGTAATAATATCAAATTCATCTTGGCTATTATATAGGACATCATTAACTACAAAATCATCTTGGACATTATCGTATAATACATTATCAGTTGCAGCAGCCATAAATAGCGCACTATTACTAATAGTAAGTTCTTCAGTTTTTTCTATAATTTAGGTATAAATAGGGCAAAGATTAAGTACAGTTAAGATAATAGGACAAAAACAAGTATGGATAGAATGAATAACATAGTACAACAACTATAGTAAGTAAAATACAGAAAAAAATCAAAAGATCAGGTATGAATAAAATGATAACATAGCACGATGACTAAGTGTAAGTAAAATGCAAAAAAAATAATCAAATGTAGAATGACTAAGCAAAAGACCAGAGATGAGTAAGATGATAATATAACACAACAACTAAGTATAAATAAAATGCAGAAAAAAATAATCAAATATAGAATGACAAAGCAAAAGATCAAGAACGGTTAAAATATATCATCTAGCAAAAGTTTATTTAATAGATTATATAAAGGTAGCATTATAGCACTATATTCATCAATGTCAAAACTTTTAATTTAATAAACTGATTACATAAGGGTAGCGCCGTGGTATCATAGCACTACACTAATATTTCCATATAAAATATATAACAAAATTTATGAAAATATATAATAAATATAACTAATAACCTGTGGGTCAATAGCGCAAGTAGTTAGCACTTCTAGGTTACAGTCACAAGGTTGTGAGTTCGAATCTAACTAGAGGATAAAAGCTCTGTCAGGACCATGACGGAAAGGATCTTTGAGGATAATTCTATATAAAGAAGGAACAAGATTCATATATACAGAATGTAGTCTGTTAGCATAACCACGGAGTTGAGAATGACTAGATAAGGCGAATCTATCAACAAATGACACAAAAATTGAGTAAAATCCAGTTTAAGAACAAAAAAAAAGACAAGTCGTACCAACCTAATGAAAGAAAAGAGACTATAGGGTTCGATACTCAGAGGTCCCTGCCCACACCCGAAATGGAAAGATGACCGAAACCCAAAGACAGACCAAAAATAACAAGGGAAGTACCGAAAAGCACAGAACAGATCACTGAAAGAAGAACCAGACAGAGGCTGAAATCGAAAACATTGCCAATAAGCAAGGAGACGAATGAAGGGGTATCTAGGGAACCATGTATAGATTAAGGAGGTACAGATAGTCTAAAAATAGAAAAAATAAAAATAGACCAACAGACTTCTAAGGTAACTAGGAATACCTGGCCAAGGGGAATATAAAGTATGCTTAGATACGTAATAAATAAAAAAATATATACATATAACTAATAAAAATTTGACTAATAAAAATTGACAGGGTGTGGCGACTTAGTGAAGTGGTGAAGTTGTCGCACCCCCAAGCGGTTGAGTACAAGTTCAATTCTCACTGGAG